GATGAGGTTTGTTCAAATTGCTTGGCCAAAAAATGTCCAGTTTTAATTAACTAGTTCTGAGAGAATATAATCTTTTTTTTCTCTTATCGTAACTTAATTTATCGTAACGTAACTTATTTCCATATTATGACTTCAAAGGCTTCTGAAGCAGCACTGCTTTTACGCGTTCTTTACTGAACGCAAAGTGGGACCGTCACTGAAGCACGAGCTATAAAGAAAAAGCAAGTGACATGACCTGTAAGAATCCGGCCAAACCCGAGTCGAAATTTAACGTCTACATTGAACCTCAATTCTTATTTTTTTATGTAAGAGTAAGAGAAAAAGTAAATCCTTTGACTCTGCTATACGTCAAAAATTTCCTTTTTTTCTACTAAAGTTTTAAAGTAGGGTTCAATTCTCATCTCAGACTACGCATTGCTCTGATAGGCTCAAAGGTGGAGTAAGAAAAAAAGTAAATGCTACTTTGACGCTGCTATACGTCCAAAATTTCCTTTTTTCCTGTAATGTATAAAGTTTAAATTTTGACTTGGATGAATTCTGAGAGTTAATCATAGACGTAGAATATATAGACTGCGCGTTTGGCTGAAAAGATATCTTCAACGTTGAAAGAGACAACACACTTTGAATAGTAACTCTCTCTCTGTCTATCAATGTCTGTGGTGGGATCAGGGCCTACTGTTTTATATCACCAGAGAGAAACCTGAGAGCGGCCATGCCATTGTAGTTTCTTATGACGGTTTCAACAGCTGGTTTTAGCCGTATTTTCACAAAAGTGGAACTCAAAGGCCGTTCTCCATGAAACTCAAGTCACAGGTCTCGTGGAACTGATCAATCACGTTGGTCGATTGGCTGATTTGACTCCGCAATTGGTCAATTCCACGAGATCTGCTACTTGCGTTTAATGTAGAACGGCCTTTGAGTNCCACTTTTGTGGAAATACGGCTAAAACCAGCGGCTGAAACCGTCGTAAAAAATTACAATAGGATGGCCGCTCTCAGATTTCTTCTGATATCACTTAACCTGTCATCACCTCTTAATCTCTTTCACTCCTCTTCACCCCTACTATTTTTCTATCTCCACTTTTCCACTACTATTCTATCAATCAGCAAAGACTTATTTTTCCACCACTACTTCGCTAGACAAAGATGAGGCTACTATTCAACACCAGCTGTCTCTCTCAACGTTGAAGAAATTTTCTTAACATGGCAAAGGTAGGGAACGCGCATCTATACATTCTACGTATATAAAGTTAATGTACAGTGCGGAGCACCATATCGTGTATCGTGAGGAGAAGCAGTTCTTCTCCAGCCGTCTCCTACTACCACGCGCCAGCGGCCCGAGACTTAATCCATATATCGGCACGGTTACCGATGATACATACCGACGCGGTTATCAATAATACTGACAGGCATATGACCATAAAATTATCGCGAACATTGAAAAGAGTAACTCTGCATTGAAAGTGACTTCAATAATTTATATCAAATATTTATTTATTTAATTCTTAGCGTTTACGTGATATAAGAAACTTACTTACGGTAAGTATAAAAAAGTAAAATATATTTAAGTAAGAGAGTAAAAAACCATGACAATAGATAAATGTTATAGTAAACCAATTAGTAAAATATTAAGAAAAAAAAATAAAACACTTCAATAGATTTGTATAATTAGCGTTAAATTTTCTTTAAAACGTCACAAGTAAAAACTAGTAAGGCAATATTATAATAGTTATGTTTATATATAAATATATATACATATATAGTTGTATATGTATTTAAAAATTTAACAAAATAATGATAATAACAAATAATGTGTGTGTGTGTGTATGAAAAGATAAGAAGGATGAGAGAGACACAAACAATTATTTTATATAATTTTGAAGCAGTTACGCGAGATTTTATTTTATAGGGTTGCGCTCAAAAATGTTCTTCTGTCAAATATATATTTATGGTTCTGTGACAAGAACTGTTTAATGTGACTCTGTAAAATACTTTTTTGTGGCTCTGAAAAGAACCATAAATATATATTTGACAGAAAAGAATCATAAATATATATTTGCTTGTTGGCGAGCAACCGCCCCGCTTGCCTTCCGATCCCGTACCTATTCCGCGATTCAGTGACGCGCTGTGTACGTCCGTATACATGTATGTATAAATGTATGTATGGATATAGTTTTTTTTAGTAAAAAGAATGTTTTGTAGTACATACTTTTGTAGTACACGTTTTATAGAGAAAGAATTTTTTGTAGTATTAAATCAATTTTTAATTTTTTAATTGAAATACAATGCGTGTTGCGCGTGAACTTGGCGCCTTTTTTTAACTCTTTTTAAAAAAGTTAGATTGTTCGGTGAAATTCTTGTATACATATAAAAAAAAAGGTAAAAAAGTTCGCCAAGTAAACGCACAACACGTAATACTTTAAATTAAAAGTCTAAACTCAAACTAGTATTTATAAAAAGATGTATTTTATTTTTAATATAAAACATCTTTTTTCTACACGACCTCCGTTACAAAAAAAGTGATATAAAAAAGTAGCACCAAGTACACTTGTGTACATTTAAAGAAATTATTAAAAACATTATAAAAACATTAGACAAAAATAAAAAGTATAAAATTATTATATATGTATCAATAGTTAGATTTTGCCTTTTGTGAAAAGTCGAAATATAAAAAATAATTAAGGCAAAAAAACTTGGCGTGGCTGCACCTCAGTTAGTGAATAAAATGTGTTTGTCATGAACGTGTGCACATGAATCTGATGATAACTAATTAGTAATGCTTTAGTAAACTCTATCTTTTCTTAAGCATTACTGTTGTACATAATAGGTACTTGTGTTTTACTGTTGGAGTAGTAATAAATTTTGTAATTCTCATATTCTTTAGCATATTTAAACAAAGTATTATGTACTCCAAGTCAATTATAACAAAGTTTTTGTTTTCATGTGCACATAGACTTAATCGTCAAGGTAAAAATAAAAGATTTAATTTATATAAATACAAAGAAATCCTATGATTAAGGTCAATATCGAGCATTAAAAACAGATGTAAAAAATATATATTAATAANTTATTAACAAAAGTAGATACATAGTATATGTTTGGTGCGAAACGTTTCGACATGCACGGATGTCATCTTTAGTCGCTTAGTACAAAAAATAAAAAAATGGTTGTCTTGAAGTCGTATATAGGTTGATGCGCATACCTTGTGTTAGAAGAATGTTATGTCACATCATAAAATAATCTGAAAGATTGTCACAGTGAATATATGTACAGAACCTCACAGTAAAATACACAAAATTGAAAGAAGCTTACAAGTCAGCAGTAAGAAGTCAAATGCTGGGCAAAGTCAAGAGACAACTTTTGTTAATGAACAAAANTTTANTTTTGTTAATGAATTTGTAATATATATTTTTTACATCTGTTTTTAATGCTCGATATTGACCTTAATCATAGAATTTCTTTGTTTTTACAACACGAGCNAATTATATTTTATCTNTTAAGTTACGCTGGTCNAAAATGCGTAAACACCAACTTTTCTTTNGTTATCATCGTTATAATTTCAACTATTTACGTTCTACGTTCGATGAACGTGTTAGTCTTTCGTTAAAAGANTGGATCCATCTTAANTATAAACATATTCGTGTNTTTTCGGATATTGTGTTTTTATCGGAATGTAAAAGTCNTAACGTATATCCTAAACATATAATAGCTCTTAGTAAACTCACTGTACATGTTTCACATTTCAAAGCTGTCCGTAAACTAAATATCTTACGTAATTCTATTAGAGTTAAACTATTAAATATTGAAATTTTCGATTTACACAGAACTTTATACAATTTGAGTCATAAATTGTCACCATTGTTCTTTACACTCTCCAATTTACTTCCACAATATATTTTGAATAATTTAATTAAACATCATACTGCTTCGGTTTTTAATTGCTATAATAGGCTGTTATCCAAAAACCGTAAAAAACTCGATTGGTTAATTAAACAAAGAAACATTGAAACTAATGACAACATTTTACCTATTAACTACTTTTACTCTGTTTCTAAACTAGATCATATACTTGTTACTTTTTTATAATGTTTTTATAATGTTTTTAATACTTTCTTTAAATGTACACAAGTGTACTTGGTGCTACTTTTTCATATCACTTCTTTTGTAACGTAGGTTTTGTAGAAAAAAGATGTTTTATATTAAAAATAAAATACATTTTTTTATGAAGACTAGTTTGAGTTTAGAATTTTAATTTAAATTATTACGTGTTGTGCGTGTACTTGGCGCATTCTTTTATCTTTTTTTTAAAAAGGTAGTTATTACTAGATAATATACAAAGAAAAAATACGTCTTGTGCATATGAAAAACGATTCAGTATAAAAAAGTTCATCAAAAGTTAAAACTACGGTGGATTTGCTCATATATATGTATATATATTTTGCAACAACCATCCAGCAAAAAACTCTCATGACTGTTTTAAATTCGCGCTGTCAAACTGAAACTTGAGTAATTATATATTTACGCAACGCACACGTAAACGCGCTTGTCTTCAGGCTTTTTGTGAAACAAATTGCGCAAATCTCTTGAATATCGTATAATATACTTGTATTTTATACGATGCTCCGAGGTCATTTTACAAGTCAAAATTCTTATTAAACGTTACGTCTCAAGATAAAATTTTGGGACTTAACCGGTTATGTAAGCGTTTGTATTTTAACTGTATAATCTTTTTTTTCTTTTTCGCGAAGTTTTGACGTAACGTTTTCACTTACGTTTTAGACTGTAAATCTTGGAAAAGCATTTTACGTTGTCATATGTAACAAGCGCTCGTGGCGTGAACTTGCCGTATAGCGGGCTTGGTGGAAAAAAGACGGAACATAGTATGTCCGCATTCTTCCCCGAAGAGCCGAAGTGCCGAGCGTAACGTCACGGACAGCGGTTCTCGCTTGTGTGCGTGCCCCTGTCACCTCGGTGCTCACGGTGCTGGCCGGTCAAATCTTTCATCATTGTTCCTCGGTCCTCTTCCGCATTAAATATGCTGAATCGGCCATTTTGAAAAGTAGTCGTAAGTATAAAAGCGGTAAAAAGCATAGGCGACTAGTAGAGTGCGACTAGTAGAATAGCCGAGACGTCAAAAAACGTGACAATCCCGACACTTTTGTGAAGTTGGAAGAAAGATTGCAGCGATACTAGTAAGTATCTTTAAATTGTATTTTATTTTTTAAATGTGTTCCGATAATGTCGATATTAGAAAGTGACCAAGTAAATTCAAACACCAATCTACACGCGTTAATGGTTTTAAGTAAACGGCGCNAAATTTACCTAATTTAAAAGTNAAGTCGACTNACTTTCTTTCTAGTTTTACATTGCAATCATGTTTNAATTACGCACTNTTAACGTCATAGCTAATAAAATTGAGTTTGACAATTGTGGTCATATNGATTTCGTGGGGGNTAAGTTCTGGTATAAGAAANAATTTACAGTTAATATATATGGACTGAAAAAAGTTTTTTCGGAATATATGCCAAGGTGATTTATGGACTTTTTAACGAATTTACGCTTTTGAAGACAATCTTTTATACTTTAGTGTGTGTTTCATTTTTGAAGCTAGCAGTTACAATTTTCAATGTCTTAAATTTTTTGTTTTTGCTACAACTTTAGTAACTCAGTTAGTCAATTAACGACTCGTATGTAATATTGTTACTTTTACGAAAATTAATAGTTTAAATAATTTATAGAAAGAAAACAAATGTACCTACATATCAGTAAAAGAAAGGAAGACTTGACGCGACATTCGTAAAACTTTCAAAAGGAAAAAAAAGTTGACAAAAAGTCATCGCTACTGTCCACACGCATTAGTTTTGACATAAGTGAAAACGTTACGTCAAAACTTCGCGAAAAAGAAAACAAAGATTACACAGTTAAAATACAAACGCTTACATAACCGGTTAAGTCCCAAACTATCTTTAGACGTAACGCAAATTTAGTTTAATAGGAATTTTGACTTGTGAGATGACCTCGGAGCATCGTATAAAATACAAGTATATTATACAATACTCCAAGAGATCTGTGCAATTCGTTTCACGAAAAGCCTGAAGACACGCGAATTTGCATGTGCGTTGCGTAATATATGATAATTATGTAGGAATATTTAGCGACCGCTGTCTCGATAACAAACATCGTCAACGGTTTAACTCTTTCCGTTTGAGTCAATTTACGCAAATACGCTNGATACAAGTATATACATATATATTTTATTCCTACATTCGGCCATCCTGAAGCGCAAATCTGACCTCAGATTTTCTCTTAAGTGTCGGAATCTTCTATAATGTCAGCTGTTTCGATCCATGGCTTTATATGATCGCTAGACGTAGATGTTTCAAATGGTCCCTCTTGATTGCCTACTTTTCTAACAANGTATCTATCATTACGCAATAATCTTATCACTTGATAAGGACCTAAATACTTGGAAGCACATTTCAAGCCCGGACCCAACTGCGTTCTCTTAATAGCCACTAGATCGTTTTCGTGATATTGTCTCGCTTTTTTACGACGCTTGTTATATGTTTTCCTGTTTTCTTCTTGAACTCGCATTATTTTTTGTCGCGCTTGCTCTCTTAACTCNTCGCGATCTTCTAAAACCAATTTTTCCCACTCACTCTCTATCATAATTTTTATTTCCGGATCATTTTTTAATCTCATGTGAGTGCCAAATAATTGAAATAGCGTTACGTCCGTACTCCGGCTCGGAATCGCATTAAGATATTGTTGAGTCAAACTCAAATACCTATACCATTCCCCCGACTTAGGCGCAGCTAATTTTGTTAATAATGGTATTAAGGTGCGATTTACTCTTTCCACTTGANCATTCGACCGTGGGACGCCTGTAGTGATTAACACATGCTCTATATTTTCGCTTCGACAATAGTCACGAAATTCGATAGAGGTAAAGGCGGTTCCTCTGTCTGAGATGATTCTCCTA